AGTGTCTTTAGGCCATTCCCAAAGAGGTGACATTTCTCGTTCTTATGCAGAGTAGAATTGTAAATGGGCTGATTCAACCATGTCATGCTCATACTGTGCCTGAACTACAACAGGGAACTACTGCTTTTTCTTTCATAAACCTTGCTATTGTCATTTTCCTCTACTTCTTTTGTATTTTTGTCACACTCTTGTGACCCGCTATTTCCGGGGTGCCTTAAAAGTCAAAACAGACTTTGTGATGTTAAAGCTAGAGAGGTGAGCAGAGTAAGCCCGATTCCCAGTAAAGACTTTTCTGTTGACATCCACCCCTTGGCGCTCATATGACCTTATGCAGTTGCGAGCGCATTGATACCTCTACTAAATAAAAAATAAAAAATAAAAGTTGTCATCTCGCTCTAGCCACAAATTTGCAGTTAGTTTATCCGTTTGTTTGTCCTGAGTTTGCATGGTATGTAGTGTGAAACTGATACATGAGCACAACTTAGGGTGTGATGCTACCACTCAATACTTGATTCAAATCAAAGTCATGATTTTCGATGCTCGAGCAAGGCTTTCATAGACAATCATTAGATTTATATCCTAAGAATAGTACATACTCTTCGTCAAACATGGGTATACTTAACTAGGGAAGTACAGCGTACCTGTAGCTGGATCTGTTGTAACATCAGTTGTTTGATCTGTTGAAATGTCTGTGGTTTGATCTGTTGTAATGGCATTTGTTTGATGTGTTGAAACGTCTGTGATTTGATCTGTTGTTACGTCTGTGGTTTGATCTGTTGAAACGTCTGTGGTTTGATATGTTGTAACGTCTGTACTTTGATCTGTCGTTTGTTCTGATGTCTGATCTATTGTTTGATCTTTAATTTGATCTGTTGTGGCGTCTGTGGTTTGCTCTGTAGTTTGTTCTGTTGTTTGATCTGTATTTTGATCTGTAGCGTGACCAATATTTTCATTTGTTGTAACATCAGTAGTTTGATCTGTAGTTTGATTTATAGTTACATCTGATGTATTATCTGTTATTTGACCTGTAGTTTGATCTCTAGCAACATCTGATGTGACATCTGTAGTTTGACCTGTTGTTTGATCTGTAGTTACATACGATATAACATCTGTAGTTTGATCTGTTCTTTCATTTCCTGCAAAATCAGTTGTTTTATCTGTTGTAACATCTGTGGTTTGATCTTTAGTTTGATCTATAGTTTGATCTGTAGTTTGATCTGTAGTTTGATCTGTAGTTTGATCTTTAGTTTGATCTGTAGTTTGATCTGTAGTTTGATCTTTAGTTTGATCTGTAGTTTGATCTGTGGTAGCTTCTGTTGATTGATCTGTTGTAACATCTATAGCTCGACTTGTTGAAAAGTCAAAAGTGTGAATTGTAGATTGATTTGTAGTTTGATCTGTACGTTGATCTATTTTATCGTCGGTAGTTTGATATGTAGTTTGTTCTGTAGTTTGATCCGTACTTTGATCTGTAGTTTGGCCTGGGGTTGGATTTATTGTTTGGTCTGTAACAACTGTAGTTTCATCTGTTGCAATGTCTGTAGTTTGATTTGTTGAAACGACCGTAGTTTGATCTGTTGTTTGATCTGCGGTTTGATTTGTTGTAACGTCTGTAGTTTGACTGGTTGTCTGATCGGTAGCTTGGTCGGTTGTAACGTCTGAAGTTTGATACACAGTTTGATCTGTTGTAACAGTTGAAGTTCGATCTGTTGTAACAGTTGTAGTTTGATCAGTTGTGGCGTCTGTAGTTTCATATGTTGATGAATCGACTGTAGCGTCAGTAGTTTCATCTGTTGGTGAATCGACTGTAGCGTCTGTAGTTTGATCTGTTGTTTGATCGGTTGCAACGTTTACAGTTTGATCTGTAGTTTGGTCAGTTGTAACGTCTGTCGTTTGAAATGTTGTAACGTCTGTAGTTTGATCGGTTGTAACATCTGTAGTTTTATCGGATGACTGATCAATTGTAGCGTCTGCTGTTTGATCTGTTGAAACGTCTGTAGTTTGATCTGCTGTTTGAATAGTTGTAAAGTCTGTAGATTGATCTATTGTAACATTTGTCGTTTGATCAGTTTTAACGTCTGTAGTTTGGTCTGGTGATTCATCGGTTGTAGTGTCTGTTGTTTGATCAGTTGTGACGTATGTAGTTTGATTTGTTGAAACTTCTTTAGTTTGATATGTTGTTTGATCAGTTGTAGCATCTGTAGTTTGATCTGTTGTTTGATCGGTTGTAGCATCTGTAGTTTGATCTGTTGTTTGATCGGTTGTAAAGTCTGTAGATTGATCTATTGTAACGTATGTTGTTTGATCAGTT